ATTCCTGCAAAGACTGATTAATATCTACTCTACTCACCCATACCTTATCATTTAGCCATACCATAAAAGAAAAACAAACCACAAAATATACCTTGTAAAGGTTAAAGTTAATTCCATTTTTCCACTCTTTATTTCCTCATACCAGTAATTTTCCATAGAAACTACAAACATATACTAGTAAGCTCAACCTCTGGAGACAGGTGGGGGTCTCTCTTCCTTCTAAGGAGAGTCCACCACCCTGCCTGTGGAGTAGCTCTTCTTGCTTGTCCTCTCTGCACAATAAAATTGCTTCCACTCTAACCTCTTGTCTGGCTCGTATCCTGAATTATTTCTTGTGCGAAGCTAAGAACCCTCTTGGCTGGGGTACCCTTTAGGAACTTGCCCCTCCGTCATCTCCACCAGCCCTTCCAGGCCACCTCCCGCTGAGAGCCTTTCCAAGCTACTCAGATAGAGCCTGTGCCCTCTGACCTTGCTCTGCACCCCCCACCCCAGCTAACCCCACGAACCTCCCTCTGCCCAGCCCTGAGCTGGGAGATCAATGTCTGGCTCTGGGACCATCTCTGAGATCCTCCCGGATCTCCTAGGTCCAGCACCAGGCTGGGTGGGGGACAAAAGTCTCAATCTAGAACGAATGAGAAAGATGGTGCCTGAGGATGGTCATCTGAGAGTCACCTGGGGAAAAGCCAGGGCCAAGAGAGGGTCCAAGGTGTTGTGGGGAAGGAAGAGAAACAGCAAGATCCCACCTGACAGCCAGAGCTCTGCTCAAGAGCATGGTACATGGAAACATCAGAGGCTTTGAATGATGCCTCATGTTCCTCCACCCTTTACACCCACCTTTATTCAGGCACTACCCTTCCCAATGGGTGGCCTGGCCTGCTTCCTCCCAGCCACACTCTGAGCATCGCCACAAAGAGACCACCTTCTTACCTGATCAAAATCCTGCAGTGGTGTCCCAACCCTCTGAAAACAAAACCCAGTGTCTTTACCAGCTCTTTTCCTACCTAGACCTCCTCACCTGTGCCTTCCTGCCTCTTTCTCATTCGTCCCAGCTATCCAAGGGACATCCTTCATAATCATTCTGGTTAGCAGCCCCCGTCTCCTTTCGCATCTCTTTTATTATTTGAATATTATCTCTATCAAGAGCGACACGGTTCATTTATTTATTTGCTTGTACGGTCTCGCCTCCTCCCCAATGAAACTTAATCTCCATGAAAGCTGGGCCCAATCCGTTTTATTCTTCACCTTTTTCTCACTGTCTAGGACGGAGCCGGGTACACAGCAGGCACTGCGTACACAGGCCTGAGCCCGCGGAGGCCAGGGGAGGGGGCAGTTTTGTCCCCCGGCGGCTTCTGTAAGAGTCATTCCCCAAACCCAAGTGCTCAAGGACTGTCCACCGTCACCAGCCCGAGCCTGCGGCGCCCACTCCCCGCCCCGCGCGCGAGGGGTCCCGGCGGCTGCAGTTTCTCACCCTGTCTTCGCGGCCACGTGGGAAAGGTGGGGCTCGCGTCTGTCACCGGCGGCACCGCCTCTGGCCCCTTCTGGCCGCCGTCGGCGCGCAGGCTCACTGGCGCCGCCTCGCCTCGGCCTTCCCCACTAAGCGACCCGCACCCAGATGGGCCCAGGTGACTGCGAGCGCAAGTAAAGCCAAACAGGCAAACAGGTGTGCGGCGGCGGTGTCTCTGCCGCTTTTTCCAGGCCGCTCTCCGTCATCGGCGCCCCCTGCAAGGAAGTTTTTCGCCTTCGGAGCCTCCGCCCTGAAGAAGCAGGTAGCGCGCCGGTACCGGAGGGCGCGGCAGTGGCCACCTGCGCTTGCGCACCAGGGCGCGGGGTGGACCTGCGCCTGCGCGGCGCGGCGCTGCAGGGACCGTTGGCTCATTTGCATGTCCCCGCCTCGCGCGGCGGCGGCGGCGGCGGCGGGGGCGGTGGCGAAGGTGGTGGCTGAATCTCAGACATCGGCGGGGGCGACTCCGCACTCGGTGGGCTCGGGGTGAGGCCCGGCCCTGCGCGTTGTCGGTGGGTGGGCCCCGGGGTCTGGGGGCTCGGGCTCGGCCCCAAGCGGGCCCCGTGTCCCCGCGATTGCGCCGCGGGCTCGGCCCTCGGGCTGCACGACGGCCGCGTCCCGGACGGGTCGGCCTGGTGGGGCGGTCTGCGGCCTCTGGGGCCCGAGGCCCCCTTTTCTTCGTCCTCGGAGGCCGGGAGCAGGCGGACCGCACCCGAAGGGGTTCATTCGTTTTCTCGCTCATTCATTCCACCCGAGCCCGAAGCGGCCTTTCGCGTGAGGCGATCACGGAGGCAGGGCGCTGTCTACGGCCCTTTGCCATTTTTAACGGGTTCAGTCCCTGCAGCAATCCCCATCACTGGCTGCCTATTCCATAGATGGTCGAATCGGAGGTATAGAAAGGTTAGGTCGCTTGATTTGGTCCCGGGCCGCCAGGCCCGAAGACCCTTCCCTTCGCCAGTAGAACAAGGGGCGCCCTAGGAAAAAGGACTAAAGGATGGAAAAGGAGGCGATGGTTACAAGGAAGACTTGCAAGGCAGGCGCAGGCGTGGGTCTTGGGTTGGAGGTTTCAAGTTGGAAGGGATGTCTTGGTGGTTAAGGACGGGCCACCCCGGAATTCCTCCGTGTTGCTTCTTGGCCTTTTTCTATTTAGTCTTCAGGCTTTGTCCCCACTACTAGTGTTGTCTGCCAGGTTGCAGCCCTGGATGGTTGACCTTGGGTGAGTCACTTAGCTCAAGGCTGCCCTTTCCTCTTCTGTTTGATGTCATTCATAACAAGACCCACTTCATTGGGTTGTTGCAAGTAAATGAGGTCATGGGAGTTCCTTCCCTACAACTGTCACCAGCTCATTGTTACTAGTCAGGGATTCCTGGAGGGTCGTTGGCTCTTAGAGCCTCTTGGCTCTGTTTGGAAAACGGGAACAGCCACATCTTTCCTAACTGACATGTGAGAGGGTTATGCTCCCACTCCCCTGCACTGTTACCTTCAGTTATGCGTGTTGCTTCTCGCAGTCCTCCAGCAACCCCAGGAGATGAGGACTTTTCTCATAGAGCTTTCCAAGGATTCTGAGGAAATGGTCTTACAGAAACAAAATCACTTGTCCAAGATCACCATGCTTGTCTTGCTCCTTTTCAGTCAACACCCGCCTGTGAGCTTCCTGAGAGCAGAGGCCCCTAGAAATAATCCAACCTTTTTCTGAAGTACCTTGCTGGATTATGGGTTACTGCCTCCTTACTTTGAAGATTAGGTGAACTAGAGAGCCGGCTCTCTGAGCATTCGTTGTCATTCTTAGTGTCTTTTTTCCTCTACTACAGGTCAGAGAAACATGGCTACAAGGCGAATTGCACAGGAGACTTTTGATGCTGTGCTACAAGAAAAAGCTAACAGATATCACATGGACCCCAGTGGTGAAGCCGTAGGTGAAGCTCTGCAATTTAAAGCTCAAGGTAAATTAAAGTGCTTGATTGGGAACCGAGGGGGGCGGGTAATGAGGCATTTAGGGTCAGAGCAGGAGGATTTCAATCCCTATATTCCTATTTGTTAAGGGGAAATGAAGTTTTCTCTGGATCTGCATGTTAAATCACTATGTAGAAAAAGGTATTATCATTACCAGGAGCTTCTCCCCAGAAAGCCTCCCTCACCTAAAGAAAGGTTGTTGAATCAATCTTCTGGCTCCATCCCCACCACCAGTTCTGGCTTGGATTACTTCAATAATCTCCTACTGAACGGTCTCTCATCTCCTACTGAACGGTCTCTCAGCTTCTGGCTTCAGTCCTCTCAAATCTGTCCTGACTACAGATCTATTCATGCCACCCTTGCTGGGCCAAGGCCCTGCTTGGACTCGGGGCTTCCCACTTTGGGGTTAGATCCTCAGATAAGTGCAGGAGCAGGGAGGTAACAGTGATGTGTGCAAGACTGAAGGGTGGTGCAAGGGGCTGTGGAGCTGCTGAGCATAGGCCCTGCCTGAAAATGTTTCCCCTTGGGAAATTTTGAAACACCATGCCAGCAGAATCAAAAACGGTGCCCACACGATTACAGGATGCCATGGAGGTCCCTCACTACCACGCACAAGGTTCCCAACCCTTACTCTTTGCCTTGGGCTTTGTGTTTCAGTGATACTGTGCCACCTCTCTGTGCTTTGAATACCTCCTCATCCCAGCTCTGGCTGGTTGATTCCCTCCGGCATGCCTTCCTCAGGAAGCCCCAGCAGGACTTGAGGTTGATTTGGTTGCCGTTCCCAGCCCCAAATACACTGTGTGCTCACTCCTCTGTTATGGGCTGGGCCTGTGCTGTTTGCTGCTGCACCAGCCCCTGAGCCAGCCTTGGCATGGAGGAGGGTTAGCATTGGTTGAGTGAGTCTTAAGTGCTTGCAGGAGGGATAACTGTTGTTACATACTTTGGACCTGGAAAAACCAATTGATGGAGTTTTCAAAAATTATGAGCAGTGCACAGAAACATAGCTGTTATAAAAGATTGGAAGACTTGAGAAATGGTTAAGAGTATCATGTAAAAGTCTTTTTAGCTGCTTTCTTAACCCTCAGAAGTAACTATATTTGCAGTAGTCTGTGCATCCTTCAATTCTTTTAGCAATATGTAATCCAGAATATTTATGTGTTTATATATACACACAGAGACATATACCTATATGTACTTATATATACATGTATATGTATATAGGGTGCCCCCTCAAAATATATACACACACTTTGTATAATTATAAGGGCAGTGTTTATTAAAATACATTTCATTTTTGAAACAGCTATCAGCTGATTTCGTCAGATTTATGTCTCTATACACTGTATACAGAGACATAAATCTTGGTATCTTTATCTAGAGACTCAAACACCAATACATATATTGTTACCTCAAGAAAATTTGGGGAGCCCTAGCTGGTTTGGCTCAGAGCGTGAGCCTGTGGACTGAAGGGTCCTGGGTTCAATTCCCTGTCAAGGGCACATGCCCGGGTTGCAGACTTGATCCCCAGTAGGGGATGTGCAGGAGGCAGCCAATCCATGATTCTCTCTCATCATGGATGTTTCCCTCTCTCTCTCTCTCTCTCTCTCTCTCTCTCTCTCTCTCTCTCCCTCTCTCTCCCTCTCCCATTCTGAAATCAATAAAAATATATTTTAAAAATAAATTAAAAAAAAGAAAGTTTGGGGAGGGGTGAACTAGTAGCCAAGCAGGTTGCTAGATGGTTCTGGAACCATCTCTTTGTCACAGAGCTGCGTGGTTCATCAGTTGGACTTTCTCTGTCCCTGTTCTACTCTGCACTTTTTCAATGACTTGGTTTACAAGGTATCAGAAAATCCTGTTGTACAGAAACCAGCCACCACTCTACCTCTAATGCTACCTCCCTCACCACATCATCAGTAGTCATTAATACCTAGATCATCCCAGTGGACTCCTTGCTGGAACATCGACATTCACTTTCTTCCCTTTTGGTCTATTGCAGTGATGGCGAACCTATCACACGCGTGTCAGAGGTGACACGCAAACTCATTTTTTTGGTTGATTTTTTTTTTGTTAAATAACATTTAAATATATAAAATAAATATCAAAAATATAAGTCTTTGTGTTACTATGGTTGCAAATATCAAAAAATTTCTATATGTGACACGGCACCAGAGTTAAGTTAGGATTTTTCAAAATGCTGACACGCTGAGCTCAAAAGGTTCGCCATCACTGTCCTAGCTGGTTTGGCTCAGTGGATAGAGTGTCGGCCTGCAAACTGAAGGGTCCCAGGTTCGATTCCAGTCAAGGGCACATGGCTGGGTTGCAGGCTCCATCCCCAGTAGGGGGTGTGCAGGAGGCAACCAATCAATGATTCTCTCTCATCATTGATGTTTCTATTTCTCTCTCCCTCTTCCTTCCTCTCCGAAATCAATAAAAATATATTTTTAAAAAATGCAGGTTATTTGAGGGCCAGACACCCTTCCCTGAGTATAAAAAAGTGCTTGTAAACCAGATGCCTGCTGAGCAAGGGCAGGAGAACTGAGTGATTAAGGGGCACTTAATCAAGATACCAGCCTTGATGCAGTATCATCAGGATAGATGCAGGCCCAGTGCTTGTAGGTCTCTTTTTGAAGAAAAAGTAGTAATTCCAGGTTTAAGGAAAACCACACACATTTTAAATAATGGCAAATAGGAATTTTTAAAATGCACTCAGGCAGATAAAGCACTCCAGCTGGTTGGTAGTCTATGGACTGTCCATTTGTACCTTCTGGTCTAAAGTACCTTTGTGTTTCCTTTGGATTGTTTATTTCAGATCTTATAAGGACACTGCCAAGAGTCAGAGCAGATATGTATGATGACATTCACAGTGACAGCAGATACACTCTGGGCGGATCTGTGGCTCATTCTCGAGATGCTGGGAGAGAAGGCCTGAGAGGTGATGTATTTCCAGGACCTTCCTTCAGGTCAAACAACCCTTCTGTAAATGAAGACAACTACTTTCGCAAAGAATGTGGCCGGGATCTGGAATTTCCCCACCCTGATTCCCGAGATCAGGTCTTTGGCCACCGGAAATTGGGCCATTTCCGTTCTCCAGACTGGAAATTTACACTCCGTGGCTCTTGGGAACAAGACCTTGGCCACCCAGTTTCTCAAGAATCGTCTTGGTCACAGGAGTATAATTTTGGTCCTTCTGCACTACTGGGAGACTTCGGGTCCTCCAGGCTGATCGAGAAAGAGTGTTTGGAGAAAGAGAGTCGGGATTATGACGTGGACCGTCCAGGGGAGGCAGACTCTGTGCTCAGGGCCAGTGGCCAAGTCCAGGGCAGAGGCCGAGGTCTGAACATCGTTGATCAGGAGGGTGCCCTCC